GCACATAGCCAACTGCCAACTAACAGCTGGATCACAAGAAGCGATCGAACCAGCAATTTGTTAGCAACACATACTCTTTGACGTGGACCAACCATGGCCAACAAGCTCTCCACTTCCCTCCTCGCTGCCTGCTTCGCCGCCGCCGTCCTCCTGGCGCTCGCCGCACCTGCAGTGCTCGCCGGCGACCCCGACATGCTCCAGGACATCTGCGTCGCCGACTACAAATCCCTCCAGGGCCGTAAGTCATCGATCTCCAGTTCTACACACTAGCTATAGCTAGCAACATTGTTTTTCGGTGATCTCTCCAAGTCCACTGTCCACACACTATATATAATAATAACTATGCCTTGCAGCACTGCGGCTGAACGGATTCCCGTGCAAGAGGCCGGAGAACGTGACGGCGAACGACTTCTTCTCCAACGTGCTGGCGACCCCGGGCAACACGGGCAACGCGGTGGGGTCCGCGGTGACGTCGGCGAACGTTGAGAAGCTCCCGGGGCTCAACACGCTGGGCGTGTCGGTGTCGCGCATCGACTACGCGCCGTGGGGCGTGAACCCGCCGCACGTCCACCCGCGCGCCACCGAGGTCATCTTTGTCCTCCAGGGCTCCCTCGACGTCGGCTTCGTCACCACCGCCAACCGCCTCTACGCGAGCACCGTCTGCGCCGGCGAGGTCTTCGTCTTCCCCCGGGGGCTCGTCCACTACCAGAGGAACAATGGCGGCGGTCCCGCCGCGGTGCTCTCCGCCTTCGACAGCCAGCTGCCCGGCACGCAGCCCGTCGCCGAGGCCCTCTTCGGCGCGTCACCGCCCGTGCCCACCGACGTGCTCGCCAGGAGCTTCCAGATCGACGGAGGACTCGTGGAGGCCATCAAGTCCAAGTTCCCGCCCAAGTAATAGGCGTGTCATGCTCATGCATGCAAGCACCATGCACGTATTATACGCTGGTAATAACGAGTGCGTACTACTTACTCCGATCGCGAGTGTGTGATTTAATTGAAGAATTGTCATCACTTTGTATTCTAGCTGTAAAGCAAGTGTGTATGGGTCGATCAATTCGTTGGGTTCTTTAGTTCTTGGTGAGGTCATGATAGCCATGCATGGCTTCACCGACAGTTCACTGTTGTTGCGTTTCAATTTCTGCATGAGCCACTTGTATGTGTAGGGTGGTGTGTTTCTGTCAATGTGCAAATCCAGAGTAATGAGTGTCCTGATTATTGTTGCCTGGATATTGTTGCTCTTGCAACATATTCATCGGATAATAAATTATGTCGTCGTTCATTATCATGCATACACATCATCATTTAGAAATTGGAGTCGTCAAAACTGTGAGCAGGCGACCTGATAGTCCATGTTCCTCCTACCGTACCTCCATCAAAGAAAGGAGCGCCATGGAGTTTTGATTAGTGGGGGCGGGCAATACGATGACACTTCATAAATATGATAAATATATACATCAAGTATATGTCTCAATGGCTTTTCAATGTTTTTACGTACGTATTTAGTATTCATTGCAAAAAAACACAATATTATCAAAAAATGGGTGAAATAATAACTTTTTTGTGCTATGCAATTGAAATTTTTATAGGGTATTAAATTTTTTTCAGGGGAGGGGGATGAGCCCCTACTGGCAAAGGAATTACATATTATCCTTATATTTCTGTCCGCTTCCATAATTATTGCTTTCATACCTCTATAGACAGCATTATTACAGAAACCATCGTTGCAACTAAGAGTATAGCACAGTAGCTTCTTCCTTGATCCTGTAATAAACAGAGAGAGAAAAAAGAAGGAAGAGGGTGTAGATCGAGGCTTACCTCTTGATATAGATAGCCCCCCGCAGATCAGCAATATGATGTTCTCCTCTTGTTCTCCCGGTTTTTCCTCCTCCAAATCACTACGCCGTAGAGGCCTCCTGCAAGAAGTAGCAGGCAAGTAACAAAAAGTGAGTGACAATGTGGCTCTTCCACCACGGATCGTGGTGGCTTTCATGGAAGCCTTGGAACGGGGCATCTGCGAGGTCCAGGTGGTGGACGCCTCTGAAACGGGCACTTGTGAACTCCATTGAGCGATTTGATCTTTCCGCCCTAAGAAATGTTGGTAGAAGAGGTTTGCACTCGCGTTTGACCGATGTGATGGTTAATCGGGCGCCACCAACAATTCTCAGGGTGCATTATATTCCTCGTATACGTATTATATTCCTACGGCCGATGTGATGGTTAATTCCTGCAAAAGACAAATCGCATTATATTCCTCGTATACGCATGTGATCGATGTGATGGTTAATCGGGCGCCAGGCCCTAGGCCCTACTGCCCCTTTTGTTCTGCCAATGGCGCCATTATTGTTCTCAAACACATGTAACAACGCGTGTAACTTTTTACGCTATGCAATTGAAATTTTTATAGGGTATTAAAAAAATCTACGTGCAAAACACTCTAGGTAGTTTGGGTCAACGGGTAATCTCCCAAAACGACCATGGATTGTCAACAAGATGTATTAAAGTGGAAAGCACCAAATGAATATTGGCATCGTGAATTCAAGTACCTCAAAAGCAAGTCTTGGAGATAAAGTTGGTATAAACCATGATGGATCAAGATATATATCCCAATCGTCAAATACACCCTCATCAGCTTTACTGATGGAATTACATAGATAAGCAATAATGAGTACTCTTCAATCCCCTAGTGACTGAAGTATAGTATAGTGCTCAGTTTTAACAAGGCCGAGAATTCGGGTGATCGAACGAACAATTGGCGGTTTCTCAGCCACCGCGTGGAGCAGCTCAAAAAAAACTGAAGTTTATGAACTATCTTTTGAGGTGCTCTCGCTACTCTATTTTTTTCCTGGAGTAGAGTTTACAGAGCTCCACTTATTTAGCTGAAAAACGTGAAGCGAACATAAGCAGTGGACATATAAGGCTTTGATAGTTTGATCGGACAAGGTAGCAGGGCGAGCATACGTGTTGCTGGGTAGTTTGGGTCATGGAGTGCCCAATCAAACTGACCCAACATACGAAATACTCTAGAAATCGGTCTTTGTAAACATGAAACCCGGCATATAGGAACCGAGAACCGAAATCTTGGGCTGTTTGATCTCGGTGTTTTGTCCACCCTGTTGGAATGTGATGGGTTCGGCTAATTCCGAACTTAATTACGAGATTAATTAAACGTTAAGTTTTTTTGTCCACCCACTCGTCATTAATATCCAACTAAATAAGAACTGCCGTGATCGGCGGCAACCCTTAGAATTCTAAGGGTTCGGCCCCCTGGCCCACAGTGCGATTATAAATAAGAGAAGTACCTCTGACGTTATTATTCTCTCTAATCCATGTGACTATTCATATAACCGGTCAATTAGGCGCTGGAGGGTTTAGGAAGGCCGTCTACCCACGTCCAGGTACTGTTGCAGATCTACATCGCGTTCTTCACCAACTAAGAGCATCAAGCCCCAAATCGGGTGAAGATTAAGATCTACTTCATCTACATCAACTTTTACATCAAGCACGGAGGCATAGATGGCATCTACGGACTCCGGTTAGTTACTAAGATCTATTCCGCATAAGTTTGAGTTAGTGATCATGCTTAGGCTAAGATTAAGATCCTATTATGTCTAAGTTTTATTTCAACAATTGGTATCAGATCCTGCTTATGAGCTTGTAGGCCTACACCATTCAGTTTACTTCCCAAAATACTTATGTTTATTCACCACTACTAATAAGTTCATATTTTAGTTTTATAAGTTTTGGAGTAACTTAAGTACGCGTGGAATATTTTCCCTAAGAATTTAAGCATGACCTGTTAATACTTCTAAGCAACTTAACTATTGTTTGCTCACTAAGATTTATGAGTTTTCCTGTGTCCTGAGTAATTATGGATATTAGGGTTTTTGGCCAGGTATTTATATCCATGATCTTTTATCTGGATAAATCCTAACCGTCCGTCGAGTTCAATAAGATCATCCCAGCTACTAAGTTTTTCTTAAGGGGGCCATTTTATTGAATTTTTTAAGGGGAGAACTAGCTAGGCTGACTCGGCCATGAGCAGATGGTGCCCTGGCACAGTACTTTTGGGCTACTGTTAGGCCTATTCTTCAAAGGTCAAACTAAAATTTAATTTTTAAAATAAGTTTCCTTTGCTATTCAATATAAGTGTAGTATTTAAGTGTTTAATTAAGTATTAAGCTTTTAATGGCCTCATTATGTTTAATTTTTAGCTTAAGTTTATTCCTAGCAACTTAGATATTGATTTATTGATTTAAGTTTATAAATTAAGTTTGTTGCTATATATTCCCATCTCAAATAAGATTTAATTATGCCCTTTTATGATAATTTTTAAGTAAAATTTAAGTATGTTTTGGGAATATGTTGCTGAGAATATTTAAGTTTAAGAAATTTTTCTTTAGTGGAATTTACTTGGTTAATTTTTGTGTACTTTTTGAATAAGTTCTAAGTCTCAGTTTTAGCTTCAGTTCCAGTATTAATTTATGTTTTCACGAGCATTTTATGCCGTAAGATTAAGTTTTGCTTAAGTTTGCATTCAATTATAAGTATTTATATATACATATATATCCACCACTGTATAATAAGATGGTCTCTGGTTAAATTGAACCAACGAGAAGTTTGATTGGAGATTACTCATAATTAATTTCTGACCAACATTGACTTTAATTACGAGTTATTAAGATGGATTTTGTTTTGTTTTCTGCCCAACGGCGATGCAAATTAAAGTCCTTAAGCATGTCGTTAATTCTGACCATCATTGATTTAATTGCATGCTTTAAGTACATCTTATATACAGCTTACTAATTGAGACATTATTTTGCTTCAAAATTTTCAGTAAATTATGCATACTATATAAGTAAAATAGAACCCCTAAGTTGCATTAATTTTTTTACTTGGAATAATCAGGTGCTTGCCATTCTCAAGGAGCTGGACCTTGATTATGCGCTTAATGAGGAAAAACCACATGCTGCTCTCCTATTTATGAGTACTATGATGAGAGGATGAAGGAGTACATCCCAAAATTAGAAAAATGGGAGAAATCCGACAACGTTGCTAAAATGATAATAAGATGCTCGCTCTCAGTTAACATGATGAGGAGATTTCTTTCTAATGAAAACAACACCGAGGGATTAAGTGCTGAGGAGCTTCACAACTCCATTAAAGCACACTTTAGAAAGGTTTTCCTCTTTGATAACTTACTTAATTCCTGTTATGATGGGATAAGTGGTCTGGGTAATCACGTTAAAAGCTTGTTTGATTTGGCTTATGAGTTGAAGGCACTTGGATTAGATGTGTCTAATGAGTTTATGGTAAATTACCTTATGAATTCTATGCTAGAAAACCATAACAAACATGCTCGCAATGATAAGTTTCCAATAGTCTGCAAATTTTGCAAGTTACCAAATTGATGATAAGTATAAGAATGGCTTCGAAAGACAGGTAACTTAAGTTGTCTCATAAGTTTTACTTAAGATATTTCCCCAACATATGATGGATTAACTAAGGTGCAATAATGCATATCTTAACTTCTCCTCAGGTCTTGCTAAAACAGGGGAGCAAGGGGAGCAAAGTCTAAGGAGCCATTGATGGAATAAAGATGAAGTCGAGCCTTGGAGCTTCGTATTAGATTAGTTTTAAACTTAGTTCTTAATGATGCTTATGTCATTTTAGTATGAGATACTTTGTATTTTGAACAAATGTTCTTGAGTTTGGAGTTTATGAATACATCAAATTTATTCCATCATGATTTATATTATTAATTAGCAAATAGATTTATTTACGAGAATATGAGTTTCCTTTATGTTAGTTTTATCTTTAAGTTAATCATTAGTCAAGATGATGAGACCTTGTCAAAATTGTGTCACTATTGTTTAAGCCACATTTTAAAGGGGAGAATGGACTGTCTCATCAGAAAAGGGATGCTCTATTCAAATAAAATTATAAAGCATGGGACTTGAGAAATAAAAGAAAATTATACTAATTTTGTCCCTCGGCCCAACATTAGTCTCTAATTGAAGTATGACTTGCTTTCACTATTTCTGGCCAAAGCTGATTAGCGTTTACATGTTCACCAAGTTTCTTGTTCTAGTTTATTCTGGCCAATGTTGATTAGACTAGGTCATAGAGTTTGTTTTTTAGACTTATATGTCTTATGTTTGTCATTCTGGCCAACGCTGATTGACGAATATTTGACCATAAAAGTTTTACTAGACAAAACCTCAGCAAGACATAAGTACAGTCTAGCTAAGGATAAGAAATGAGATTCTAAGTAAATGAGCTGTCCACATGTCACCCTGATTATGTTCCTAGAGAACACAGAAATTAGTGGGAGCAAAGTCCAAGGGATTGTGTTTCTACTATTTCTACTGTTTCACCAAGTTGTTAAGATATGATGTGTTCCTAGAGATTGCAAAAATCAATGGGAGTTAGTGGGAGTTCACAAAGGAGGAAGATTAAATATTGGAGAGATACGATTTTCTATATCAATGACTCAAGAAGACATAAATATTATAGTTTCTATTGTGGATTTTTAAGAGTCAATTAGTAAGCCACAACAGATATATGTAGCAACCATTAGTTGATAAGTAGGCACATAAGTAAACCTCTATTGTTATTAATCTGCTTGTGATCCATGATAAATCTATAAGATGATTACATCAGAAGAGGAATTTTGTTATTCTAAACTAAGCAATTTTATGAGCTTAGGTCCATAAGTATATATAAAGTGTGGGTGTTAATAAGTTTCATGATGAAGTCAAACCAGTAGGCTATAAAATGGTCTACAATTTTCAGCGTGACTTCAAAGGGAGTTTTAAAAGATTTAAACTAAGAACATAGCCCACTATGATTTATAATTTCATTAAGTGGACAATTATATTTATAAAAAAAGGGTGGAAAAGTTTATTGTCCTAATACTCTACATGGGTGAAGTTGAGTTACGTGGCAATAGGAATGTCACAAAAGAGTTTTCAACTCACCAAAATTTTTAATATGATATATTTTGGTGGAGCCTCTAAGTTTTTGGCTATTAAAATACACCAATACAAGACCAATTGAGTATTAGGACTATCACAAAAGGCATATCAAATAAATGCTTAAGTGATAGAGTTGAATAAGTAATACCACGCCTGTCTATTTGCACAGTGAAATTGCACAACACAGTAAGATTAATTATCCTAAATAATTCTAAGAATAAGTTAGTAACAGTTGAAGATGAAGATGTTTCATATGCTTCGGCTGTCATTAACTTTAAGAATGCTCAAGTCAATACTAGTCTAGACTAGGCATCGGAATACTTGGCAAAAATATTAGTTTATTAATCCAGAATAGGTCCACTAGAAGGTGCTAAAGAATTTTAAGTTATTGACGAGGCACCAAAAGAATCATCATGTCACTTATAAGAATTAAGAATGAGTCGATTGCCAATTTTCTTGAATATGTATAAGAAAGTACACAATTAGATTATACCAACTCTTGCAGAAAAGAATAGTTTTATTGAAAGCTCCAAATATAATTAGTTTTTAAGATGAGCTCAATTAGTTGCATGAATACGACAGGCCATGGGGCTTAAGAGATATTATCCCAAAAAATGAGTATTAACATACTGCTACATGCCTACAGTTGAGTTGCAGTATTATTTCGAGTAACGACACATCAAATGCAGATGCCAAGTACATTGATTAAATGTTGTAAAAGAAAGTACCCTGGATCAGATTATGAAGCTTGAGAAAATTAAGAACTAAGTTGATTCTAGCATATTTGATTATTTGAGGCTTAACACTTATCCCATTTATGAGCACACAAATCAATTTGGGTTTTAGTGCAGAGTCTCTAACTTGATTCCTGGTAATAGGGACATATACTCCCAATAAATAATAAGCGTTCTAACAAGGTATTGAAGTGAACAATGGGTACTGTGGTCCCAATGGCGATTAATGCTGCTGACGACGTATTGTTTTGATCTTGCTGTAGTAATGAGTGTGAACATAAGTATAAGGCGAACATTAGTTACATAATTGCATTAGTCGTTCGATCGAGTGGGAGAATGTTGGAATGTGATCGGTTCGGCTAATCCCAAACTTAATTATGAGATTAATTAAACGTTAAGTTTTTTTTGGTCCACCCATTCGTCATTAATATCCAACTAAATAAGAACTACCGTGATCGACGGCAACCCTTAGAATTTTAAGGGTTCGGCCCCCTGGCCCACAGCGCGATTATAAATAAGAGAAGCACCCCCTGGCATCATTATCCTCTCTAATCCATTTGACTATTCACATAACCGGTCAATTAGGCGCTGGAGGGTATAGGAAGGCCGTCTACCCACGTCCAGGTACTGTTGCAGATCTACATCGCGTTCTTCACCAATTAGGAGCATCAAGCCCCAAATCTGGTGAAGACTAAGATCTACTTCATCTACATTAACTTCTACATCAAGCACAGAGGCATATGTGTCATCTACGGACTCTGGTTAGACACTAAGATCTATTCCGCATAAGTTTGAGTTAGTGATCATGCTTAGGCTAAGATTAAGATCATGTTATGTCTAAGTTTTATTTCAACACCCCCCCCTACTTTGTGCCTTGAGAACAAAAAAATATATGGAGTGAATGGGACTGTACAAATTAAACCGAACGGATAGTTATTCAAAGTGAATGACTGAGCATAATTAAACGTCGATTTCATCCCGGTACCATTTGTATGCATGCGTGTCATTTTCACGTTGCTTGAGTCACGCGAAAATCGATCAGCGGAGAGGAAATAACTGCACGCATGCAAAGCATTTCTATATACTAACGTGCATGTTACTAATATACAAAAACTTCGAGTTATTACGGATTAAGCCGGGGGGTCCATGCATATCCGCGGGTCAAAAAAAAAAAAAATATATATATATATATATATATATATATATATATATATATATATATATATATATATATATATATATATATATATATATATATATATATATATACACACACAACAACAACAACGACGAAACAATGAAATGAACGTGACACTTTGCTGCCAAATTAATTTCTTTTTTTTTTTGCGAAAATGTAACGTGACAGTATGGTTGTTGATACCGTCCTCACTAACAGGTGTGTTAAGTGTCTAATCTCAGCAATTAGTAGGCCTGTGATCCTGGCAATTAGCTTTTAATTGTCATCGTACGGCCGCCGTTAGGAGGAGGACATGCACGTCCGGGAAATTACGTGCCTTATTGTGTTATTTTTTTTGTCGGTGCAAAAATGTCAAACAATGTCGTATCATTATGGATGAAAACGGTACGGATATTTATTCGACCGTCCGTTCGACCGAACAAATATGAACACTTATCTGGATAGTTACTCGGATATCCGTAATTTTTTTCGGATACGGATACTAAAATGGATATCTTAGGCGGATATCAAATACGGATGTAATATCATCGATATCCGGCGGATATCGGATAATCCGGATAAGTATCGGATATATCCGGATATTTAAAAACGGATATTATCCGGATATTATTCAAACGACCTTGGATGGAGAAATGATCAAAATAAAAATTGTAGATCTCAAAAAGTTATGAAACTTTGTTGTTTACAACTTTTTCGTTTGAAATCATTTAGTGCTTCAAAATTTAAACCGTCCAAACTTTCTCAAATGGAAAACTAGTTTATAGACGTCAAAATTTAAAAATCACAAATTTGAACCATCCAAACTATCTCAAATGAAAAGTTGACCAAAACAACAATTGTAGATCTTGATGAATTGAACAAACTTGGTATTCAAAACTTTTCAATTTGAAGTCATTTAGAGTTCATAATACTAGAGTCAAAGTGTTGTTTTTTCATTTGACCAAATTTGACTTGGTCAAACTTGCTCAAATGAGACACTAAATGACCTCAGATGAAAAAACTCTAAATACCAAGTTTGATCATCTCAGCAAGATCTACAATTGTTACATAGCTCATTTTCCCATTTAAGAAAGTTTTATCAAACACGAGTCACAAATTCTTGAATCTCATACAGACTTTCTGAAACTATGTCACACACTTGTGAAATTTGAACTATATTTTGTTCAAACTTTCTCAAATGAAAAAATGTCCTATATAAGGATTGTAGATCTTGATGATATGAACAAATTTGGTATTCAAAACTTTTCAATTTGAGACAATCTAGGGTTCCGAAAACTAGTTTGTAAACATCGAAATTTAAAAATCACAAATTTGAACCGTCCAAACTATCTCAAATGGAAAGTTGACCAAAACAACAATTGTATATCTTGATGAGTTAAACAAACTTGGTATTCAAAACTTTTCAATTTGAAGTCATTTAGAGTTCATAATATTAGAGTCAAAGTGTTGTTTTTTCATTTGACCAAATTTGACTTGGTCAAACTTGCTCAAATGAGACACTAAATGACCTCAGATGAAAAAACTCTGAATACCAAGTTTGATCATCTCAGCAAGATATACAAATGTTACATAGCTCATTTTCCCATTTGAGAAAGTTTTATCAAACACTAGTCACAAATTCTTGAATCTCATATAGACTTTCTGAAACTATGTCACACACTTGTGAAAT